TACCAAGTATACATCAAACGTCGGAATTTCACTTGTCTAAAGGAATTAATAGCACTAGCTGAGGACTTCGAAGAACTACGCGAAGAGCAGAATGAAGTAAGTCGAGCACGAGATAGCGAGGTAATCTTCGGGCGTGTAGCAGTGGAATGTGCACGACCGCTGATAATACAGAAGACCATGAGACGCATAGCCAATACACCGAAATGTGATAAAATCATTCATAGTCCAGTCTCCAAGTCACCTTTCCGCAGCCAGCAGCAACACCAGCCAATCGCCAAGCAAACACCTGCAGAAACGTCTAGAATTTTTACTTCAACTACTGCAGCAAGCATATCAACACAAAGCGTGCGACATCGAAATGACGCGGAACAACATCATGTATCACCGCAAGATCGCAAACTAATCCCAGAAAATCCAAAAATAATTAAGCAACAGCGAGTTCCACAAGAGCAAGAACCATTACAAGTCCAATTGAAACAAATGCAACAAGAGCAAGATCCGAGTTCAATCAGGCTGCAAATACCAGAAGTACAACAAGAACAAAGTCCTAAAGTCAAAGAAATGTCAACAGAGTTTAATAACCAGCGAGTAATACGAAATCAAGAAACATTGCAAGTTCAATTGAAACAAATGCAACAAGAGCATCATTCGAGACCTATCAAAGTGCAAATACCAGAAGTACAACAAGAACAAAGTCCTAAAGTCAAAGAAATGTCAGCAGAGTATTGTCAACCACGAGTCATACAAAAACAGGAAATATTACAAGTTCAAATGAAGCAAGTAACGCAGCAACAAGATCCAAGACCTAATAGTGTACAAAAGGCGCAACGATACCGAGATCCAAGTCCCATCATGGTAGCACCTGATGTAAAACAACATCAAGCTACACAAGAACAAGCAGCACAGCACCAAGATCTAAAACATATCAAAAAACAAATACCAGAAATACCACGACAACCAAATCCTAAATTCAACGAAATGCCAGCAGAATTTGGTCAACAGCTAGATATACATGAGCACGTGGCACAACAGCAAGATTCAAGACCTAGTAGCATGGAAGAAGTACAACGACACCGAAGTGCAAGCCCTATCAATGTACCGCCAGGTCCAGATGGAAAACAGCTACTAGATACCCCAGAGCACGCAGTACAAGAAGTGTTTAACATCTCGCAAGAACAACCACCGTCAAAGACTTCGCTAATACCATGGAAGCAAAAGGATAAAATTATCAAAACGAATTCAACAAAAGGTCAAATATATGATGAAATACTTAGTCTTACCCAATCATTACCATTAACACAACTACCACAGCAAAAGGAAAAAACAATCCGCCTTCTAAAACAAGTAGGAGTATGTTACGAGTATCACGCATCGAAAAATCCACCTAGTATTCAAAGTCGACAACAACAAGTGAAACAGCGAAGTGTATTTCAACAAGACGATCATCACACCAAAGAGCAACACGACTTTTATAAAATATATAAGAGTCCAAAGCAACGTCACAGAAATCACGCTGGCAGGTAATGGTTCAGGGCAAATCACGTTTCCCGAAAGAAAGGAGGGAGTGTAACGGCCAAAATTTTGTCAACCAAAAATTTGATCGTTACAACGTCGTGGGTATAGCTGTCTACTAAACACAACACGACCACCTAACACACAACAAGTAACACTCACTCGAAGGTTCCTGTAATAAAAATTGTTAAATACTTATAAAAACATTAAGTTAAACCAACTCACCCCAATCCTCTGCCACCAACAACGTGACTTTGAATTTGACAAATCTTAAAATTGTATGAAAATCCTTGGTTAGTGCGTGAACAATTTTTGAATAAATAAGACACATATCTTGAGCTATCGTTGGGTGTCCTATTTTGCTGGAACTTTATTGGAAAATAAAATCATTTTAAAATAATTTTCTAATTAATAGAATTAAATACACACGTTCACCGGCACAACACATTGCTAACAAACAAACGAGATCAAAACAAAATAATAGTAAAGAGACCTGTCAAACGAAGAAAGCTTTGTGCAGAAAAGGTGTAGAAGTGGATCGCAACTCAGACAAAAACCACTTCTAAATTGCAATAGGTACTCAAAGAAATGTAAATTCGCCGTGAAACTAAACTTTCGCTCAGTGCGGTACAGAAAAGGAGCTTTAATGTTGGGTCAACAAACTTTAACGTTTTTTTTCAGCTGACACCGTTGACCATGGAGGGGATAAAAGGAGCGTTCACCAAGAAGAAGCTCTCTTGTTTGTTCTACCGCGGAAGAAAGACTCCTGGCTCTGGTTTCCGTTGCAGCTAAAAAGTACGTGACTAAGACGGCGGTGTCACCAGTGAAATTTGAGTGACTCTTCAAACTTAGTGAGAATATTTTGTTAAAAAATTTTATACATAGAGATTATATATATTGAAAATTTTATTTATAAATTGTGAACATTTAAAAATTGAATTTTGTAACCAAAGTCAAAGTTTAGTAAAAATAAAAAGTACGCACAAATTAAAATCTTGTACACAGAGATTATATAAATTTGATAATATCGAAATATTGAAACTTTTATTTATAAATTGTGAACATTTAAAAAATTGAATCTTGTAACCAAAGTCAAAGTTAAGTAAAAATAAAAATTACGTATAATTTAAAATTTTGTACACAGAAATTATATATTTGATAATATCGAAATATAGAAAATTTTATTTATAAATTGTGAACATTTAAAAATTGAATCTTGTAACCAAAGTCAAAGTTAAGTAAAAATAAAAAGTACGCACAAATTAAAATCTTGTACACAGAGATTATATATATTTGATAATATCGAAATATTGAAACTTTTATTTATAAATTGTGAACATTTAAAAATTGAATCTTGTAACCAAAGTCAAAGTTAAGTAAAAATAAAAATTACGTATAATTTAAAATTTTGTACACAGAAATTATATATTTGATAATATCGAAATATAGAAAAATTTTATTTATAAATTGTGAACATTTAAAAATTGAATTTTGTAACCAAAGTCAAAGTTAAGTAAAAATAAAAAGTACGCACAAATTAAAATCTTGTACACAGAGATTATATAAATTTGATAATATCGAAATAATGAAACTTTTATTTATAAATTGAGAACATTTAAAAATTGAATCTTGTAACCAAAGTCAAAGTTAAGTAAAAATAAAAAGTACGTATAAATTAAAATTTTGTATACAGAAATTATATATTTGATAATATCGAAATATGGAAAAATTTTAGTTATAAATTGTGAACATTTAAAAATTGAATTTTGTGACCAAAGTCAAAGCTAAGCAAAAATAAAACGTATGTATAAATTAAAATCTTGTACACATAGATTATATATATTTGATAATATCGAAATATTGAAAATTTTGCAATAATAAATTGGAAAAAAAACTTAACAATTGAATTTTACTAGTGGCTGTAAAGCCAAATAAAAGTACGTACAAATTATATCTTAGACATAATTGTTTGGTTGTTAATATAATAAATCTTAACAATTTCTTTTATATTGAATAAATAAATTAAAAGGAAAATAAACTAAAAGTGTATTTCAACAAACGCAATCAGATTCTTAACCAAATACAGAATTGATAAAGTACCACATAGACTAGCTACTCCTGAACGGTATAAATTCAAGGTGGGAATCCAGCACAACGACACAAGTGAGAGACACAGGTAAGAAAGATTCGGGGCTTCAATAGTAACTGAATCTCGGTTGTACGGGGTATAACTCACGTAGCTTTAATAGTCACGTGAGTCTATACCATAGTGTCGGAAACGATAGGTAGCTTTAATAGTCACCTAACGTCTCCGGCCCCTGGGCGCTTTAACAGTGAACAGGGAAGGGCGTGTGACCTGCGACCTATAACACAACGCACGTAGCTTTAACAGTCACGTGTGTCTGCGTTATATCGTGTCGGCTGTCTGGCGAATTAGTATTTGTAACACCAGCTCAGTTCATCAGCGATTTAGTTTTGTTTCGACCAGGTGGCCTGCGGTTCTGTTTATCGTCAGCGTGAAAATTCGAAGTGACAGGGTCTCACTAAATAAATTTCTTGTGTGGACCTTGGGGACGGCTGAGTTCAACCCCAGCTTTAAACGAACCAAAATAAAGGTTCATTACAACTTTTACAACATTTTGATGTGCATCTTCATCAATAACTTTACCTTTGAATTGTATCAAAGAATTCCTTACAGGAACGGCAACTACATTGTGGACTAAAAATTTTTTTTTCTCGCACAATTGGCCGTACAACTCTTGACGGTGTTAGTGAAAAGTGCACTAACACTAGCTGAAATCTCTGGAAAATTTTTTTTTTTCTTTCTCCTCTCTCTCTTTCTCGAGTTCTCGAGTATTTTTGGGAACGGAATATTTCGAAAAGTTTTCTACGAAGATATAAGATTACTTTTGAATATTCAGGTTTCCATTAGCATACATTTTTGTTACTGATCTTCAGGGAGATATTATCAATTGGCTATTACCAATTTTCAGTAATACGGATAGATGGATGACGCTCAATCAAGAGCGGAGAAGTTAGCACAAGAGGTCCATGAGTTCCGAACATTCATAGCCTCCATTCAGGTACATGCGTGGCGGAAATTAGGTGCTTTGCAACAGAATAGGGATTTTATACAGATACATAAGGACACCATAAAATCAAGACGTTTGTCACAACTGGCGGAAATAACGTATCTGTTGGATTTGATCGAGGAAGTGGAAGATATTAAATCGGACGAGCAACGGAAAGAGCACGTTCAGTTACAGGAAGCTAAAATTGGGTTGGAACTACAGTGTACAAGGTTTAGGAAAAGGCAAGAGGAATTAACCGAACTTTTAGGAACAGCAGAAGAAGAGAACGAACGGCTTATTCAGAGTCTTAGAAATCTAGGAAAGTCGGAGGAGGAAATTTCGGAGCAATTGACGGAGAGCGGTAAATTAATAGACGAGGACCACGTTATTGAAACATTGAAAGTGCAATTAGAAAACACGAGGAGAGAACTGGATACATTTAACAGACCACCAACTCCGAGCGCGGATACTTTGCAATTGCCAGTAATAGGAACTGGGGTGATTTACAAATTAAACAGAGAGGATCAGACGAACTCCAATATGGCGAAAGTAACGGCGATAATGAACTCAGTGAATAACATCTGTCCGATATTCACAGGAGGAGAGGGACCGGAGCTAGCGGCAGAAGTAGAAAGGTTCGTGGAAGGATGCAAGCTAGTGGAGCAAGAGTGGGGAACTGAAGTGAATTCAGATAATACGCTTAACATTATCCGCTGCTTGAAGCAGCGTCTCCGTGGGCCAGCGTATTCGAAGATAGGGAGACAAGACTTTGCCACAATCACAGAGTTTTGCGAGTATATCCAGCGGAGTTTTTATAAGAGAAGCACTCTGGAACAAGTCCGCACGAAGATGGCCAATATAAACCAAGGAATTGCAGAATCGGCCAGCAATTATGGTAGCAAATTGGAAGGTTTGTTATCGGATGGTTTGGAGTTAATACACACCAATTGGGGAGAGTCGGATAGAAAGGGTCTGTTAACGGATTTGAGAATTCTAGCGTCCAAAAGCTTTATCAAAGGGTTAAGAAATGACGCAACTAGGGAATCATTAATTGATTATGATAATCTTGAGTTGGATGGTTTAATTAAGATGGCGGAGAAGAGACAGGAATATAAGAAGGGCCATCAAGTTAATTTCAACCACGCTGAGTTAGAACACAGGACACCGATAGATGATCAGTTGACTTGTACTTTTTGTCGGAAGAAAGGCCACGTAAGGGAGGAATGTCGTCAACGGAAAAATACGCCGTATTGCGTCAACTGCGGAGATTACGGGCATGAAATAGGGCCGAAATGTGCTAATAAAGACGCACCCAGCGTAAAAACTTGCAGTTTTTGCAAAAGAATTGGACATGAGAAGGAGCGTTGTTTTAAAAGACTACAAACGGTGTTCTGCAAGCAGTGCCAAATTAAAGGTCATGAGGAAAATCAGTTTTGCTTTCAGAAAGCGCAACAAGCCGCGTGACCTCAGAGAGATGGCAGAAATTATCAAAATAATACTTCCTCGAATCCGTCAAATTTCACAACTCGCAATTCTGGTTTGAGCCAACAACCAAACCGGGGTCCTAATCAGTACGAACGAAGATTTTCAAATCAATTCCCACAATACAGACGTGAGTATCGGCAGCCACAACCCGTAGGTTTGAGAACAGTTCTCCAAACGGCTACACGTCCTCCAATGTCTTCGTACCACAAGGAATACGTGACCCCGAGATACGACGGGGAACAATGTCTGCAAATCAGGGAAACTAAAGCCGGCCCAACCCCCGCCAAAGGGTTGGACAGCCGATGATCAGAACATAAATTGGCATAGGGTAGGCGATAAAACAGCTGATACCCAAAATGAATGCGATATTTCACGCATTTCAGTGGAAGAGTTATTCTCGCCCGGAAAGGGTTTAGTACATGAAGTGGATAACAGTTTAATCACCTCAGCTACTTC